TTCCTAATGTCCAACCTAAACCTCCCTTGCTGCAACGTAAGACCATTACTTCTTGTCATCACCTGCATTCTGCTACAAAGACCTTTTACATCTGCACTTGAAAGAGAATCCTCTGAACTGTCATTCATGCTAAAATTCGTCACTCTACGCGTCGGTCTCAACAAAGACGCTAACTATCTTACCCATTACAAAGATAGCTTCCCCAATTATCACCTCTAATACCATTAGCTCACAGACATTTACCTTTTCCCACCTCTAATACCATTAGCTCACAGACATTTACCTCCCCACCCCGCATCCCCCTTCTGTTCTGAAATGTGATTTGTCCTTTTCATATGTGTTCATTTTTTTAATTGTATCCTTTGGTATATATGGTTGTGACTAGTTTCTTCCACTATTTGATCTGAGGAAGTGGGTCTGGCCCACGAAAGCTCATCATCTAATAAACCATCTTGTTAGTCTTTAAAGTGCTACATTGTCCTGCATTTTGCTTCAACTACCCCAGACTAACACGGATACATTTCTATCACCCACCACAAGTGGCATCCTGTGAACATGGCGCCCACTGGGAACACAGCTCCGCAATCGCCAGTCACGGTAATGGTCTGTTGATCTGCTTTTAGTAGTCCAATGGCTGGACGGCCCTTGCGCATTAAGGGCATGTCTACACTGCAAGCTTATTTCAGAAAAAGCTATTTCAGAAAATAGCTTCTGAAATAGCTTATTTCGAAATAGAGCATCCACACTTCAGGGAAGCCTCCAAAGTAGTCTGATGCAAGCTCCCCTATCGCGATTTAGAGCCCCAGAAGGCACTGGAAAGGAATCACTTAAAATGGCCCTGGTGAGGAGCTATTTCGCCATAGCAGCAGTGGAGCATCCATATACACCCTCTTCTGAAAGAGCTTTTTAGAAAGAGGAGGTATTGCTTGTGGAACGAGGTTTACCAACATCAGAAAAAGCTCTCCTTTATTTCAGTTTTCTTTTGAAATAATGCAGTTGCTGTGTGGACTCTAGTATTGTTTTTCTGGAATAACAGCAATTGTTCCAGAATAACGGTGCAGTGTAAACACACCCTGAAAGTGCTGTCATATGGGTGGATATTGGGTCAATACTGCATTTTATTAATATCAGCAGAACTGACTTAAATTAGGCCTGCGTGTTATGTAGTCTTGCCCGTCAGTGTGAAAGAATCTATTTGCATATATTTGCATATATATTTGCATGTACATGCAACCACACTTAAGTTGCAGCCCTTGGCGTGTGCTGTATCACTGTGGCCCCTGGGGCTTCCAAAGTTGAGTAGACTCATAGACTGGTCTAGATCATCCCTGACAGGTACCTATCTAACCTGCTCTTAGATACTGAAGTTCAGTATCTAAGCAGTTCAATTTCTCCTGCCCCATCTTCCATCTGACACTGGTGCCCTTTCACTAAATCCTTTTCAGAATATAGTCTGCAATAATTTGTAGTATTACACTACACATGCAAACTATAAATGAGCATTCTATTTGTCTTGGTTGTTTATACTATGCTTTTCACCATGGTGTCTCAACTTTAAAAATATTCTCAGGCCATTTTCCCTATAAATTCCAGCTGAAAATAATGTCTGAGACAAAAACATTCAATTGGTATATTTTCCCAATATTAGAATTCCTCTCCCCAATAACCGGAATTTGCAAATGGGCACAGCAAACTTAGGGACAGTAGATATGACATAGGAATTTATTCACATTTAACCATATCTATCACAATGTTAGTCTGCACATCCGTGTAGATTCACATTTCAGTTTAATAGAATTCGTCCTTGGGCACTCATGATCACCTTTAGGAAACTCTTTGCACTTGAATCTGGAAAAAGAAGAATGATCACTGCCCAGATACGAGCCATTAGATTATTGTATTAATTTAGAGCAATGTTTCCCAATTGGTGTTCCACGGACCCCTAGGGTTCCACGAAGCGAAAGTAGGGGTTCCACGAGAAGCCGGCACTCCCCCGCCCCTCTGAAAGAGAGAGAGCCAAGTAGCTAACACTAACACTCTCGTTTCCCATTCCACCCTGGCGACGCAGAGGCGTAGCGAGGCAGGGGCAAAGGGAACAGTTGCTCCCGGCAGGCATGCTAGGGGGGTGCCGGACAGGGGTGACCCCATGTGACCCACAGCAAGGAGGAAGCACTTCCCCATCCCAAAGGAGCCGGCGTGCGCTGCCTGAACAGCTGGGGCTGTGGCACCCGGCAACTTAGTTCTGTGGCCTTTCCGCACGGTGGCGGGCAGGAGGTCAGGAGACCTGGGGCTGCGCAGCTCCAACTGTGCAGGCAGCACTCTCTGTCTGGGACTCCTTGCACCCTTCTTCCCCCTCCCTCCACAGGACAGCATCGCAGAAGTAAGTTGCTGGGGTGCAACAGCCCCTGCTATTGAGGCAGCATGCACACGAGCTGTTTGGGGAGGGGAAGTGCGGTCGCACACTTTCCAGAACCCAGAGGTGTTGCAGGATTGCCAGGTACTGGTCCCAGCTGCTTCTGTCCCGTACCCCTGTCCAGACCCCCCCACGAGTACCCTGTCCCCTACCCCCACCAGCATAGTTGGGCCCACATTAGTGAGGCTTGGGGTTTTGGTGGGGTGGTTTTGTTTTGTTTTGGTTTTTTTTTTTTTTTTTT